AGTTTTTTAAGAGTTCTCCACACTGCTTTCCATAGGGGCTGAACCAGTTTGCAACCCCACCAGCAGTGAATGAGTGTTCCCCTTTCCCCATATCCTCACCAGCATTTGGTATCATTTGTTCTCTTGATCCTAGGCAGTCTGATTGGGGTAAGGTGATACCTTAGTGTGGTTTTAATTTGCAACACATAGAAAACATTTTAAAATTTTATTTTCATTTTATGTGCATGAGTATTTTACCTGCATGTAAGTGTATTATTGCACATAGTACCTGCAAAGGCCAGAAGGGGGTGTCAGATTCCCTAGAACTGGATTTTGGGAGGGTTGTTAGTGTCATGTGGGTGCTGAACCCAGGTCCTCTACAAGAGTAGCCCAATGATCTTAACCACTAAGCCATTTTTCCTGTCCCCTGTATACCAGCTTTTAAAAATACAATCATCTACTGATGAACATCTAGGCCAATTCCATCTCCTGGCTATAATGAATACTGAAAAACGTTCTTGTTCTTAAAACAAAAACCCTTCAGTCTTGGGGGTTTTGGTTTTTTGAAACAGGATCTTCCTATAGCCCCAGCTGGCCTGGAACTCCCTATGTAGACCAGGCTGACTTCAATCTCAGAAATCTGCCTGCCTTTGCCTGAGTGCTGGAAATAAAGGCATGTGCCACCATACCTGGCAAAACCCTTCAGTTTAATAACAAAACTCAATGTGTCATAAAATGTCTTTCATAACCACTGTCTTCTCATCTGTCCATGCTCTGGCCACACTACCCTTCTGTTAGTTCCTCAAAGGGGGCAAAGCCTCAGTCCATGCTATCTCTCCTTTATTTCTACCATACTCCCTCCATCTGGCTATCTGGCTGAATCATACTGACACAGGCCCATTACTGATATAGCAATAGGAAAAACAGAAAACTGCAAATTAAAGAATCCTGATGGACACCACCAATTAAAAGAACTGGGAGGTGGTATGTGTGATCATGGGTACTTATTCTAGGCATAATCTTTGCTCAAAACTAGCTAAGAGCAGCATAATGGAGACATGGGAAAAGAGAAGGGAAATAAACTTTTCCACTTCTGTTGCTCTTCTAGAGTGAAATAAACGCCTAAATAAATTTCTGACATTGACTGATGCTCCCAATGTTACCTGAGTAAGAACAAAGTATATGGATCATGATTCCAATTTTAAAATACACAAGAATATACACATTAATGTAGCTACCCGAGATACATGCACATACCAAGTTATTTACATTTTAAAAGTCAATACTTAAATGCTTAACACACAAAATTTGTGAAATATTGATGATACTGCTAAAAACTTAAACTAACAGTGATCTTTCAGACAGGAATTTTGAGTAACCTGGAAGTTTCCCAGCAATACTATTAGAACATGAAATTAAAGTGACGCTACTTACTCTTTTTATCTGATGAGGTACTGAAATCTATACCACCAAGGCCTTCATTGCCTGCAGCTGAAGTGGGTGCTGCAGTTCCCAAAGACAAGCTTAAAGCATTTTGTCCGAGACCTGTCAATAAACCAAACCCCATTTATCAAGTTTTCCCTTTAATATCACTCAAATACTCAAAGCACTCAAATACTTTTCAGAACGGATTTTCTTTTTATTTGGTTTAGGAAAAACAACATGAAACATATCTGGAACATGATTTGGGTAACAACCGATAATTTTTCTTGGATTCAATGGTCCACGTACTTTGGAAGATGACATCTTTCAGTATTAAACGGCCAGACTGTATCTGTTAATTTGCTATAACAGACATTCAATTTTTACTTATTTTAAAACTTTCCTACAAAACTCATCAGCTGGCATACTTTCAGATAAACATATCTTATTATCCAATCACTACAGAATTCCCCCCTCCCTTTTTTTTTTTTTTTTTTTTTTTGTCTTTTTGAAACAGGGTCTCCCTGTGCTCCCAGCTGGCCTGGAACTCAGTATATAGACTGGCCTCGAAATCAACAGATTTGCCTGCCTCTGCCTCCTGAGTGCTGGGACTAAAGGTGTGTGCCACCACAGAATTATACTCTTTTAAAATAACATACTGTGAATTTCTAAGATTTGAGTGTAATACACCTTAAATGTAACCACATATTCCCAAGTTGTTCTCAAAGAAAAACTTATTTAAAAAGTAAATAGGCTTCGTTTATTTCTCACCTCACTGGCAAAAGGGCTCAAAATGGACTAAAGTTAATCATGTCTGTGTGTACACAAAGACACACACGCACATGCACACACACATCAATTAGCAAAATTTCAATGATCTTGTATTGACAAACATCTATTTCCACAAATCTATGCATTCCTACACTGGTACAACTATTAAGACAAGATCCTGTTCATTTTTATTTTTTTATTGTTTTTTTGATATGTGACACAGGGTCTCCCTGTAGCCCCAGCTGGCCTGGAACTCAGAGAGATCCACCTGCCTCTGCCTCCCAAGTGCTGGGACTAAAGGGGTATGCCACCAGGCCTAGCTAATGCTATTTATTTTTAAAGCAGAGAAAACAGTAGTTAGTAGCATGTGATACCTGAAACCTGAATTTAAATTCTGGGAATGACTAACAAAACATAGCTAAATACCATTATGCTAGGTAACCAACCTCAAATCTGAAATGTTCCAACATATGAAACACTTCTGGCCTCAAGCACTTCATGAAAGTAATAATCTGCCTATAATAATTTTTTAAAGTCAGTGGCACTTTTTAAGTTAACAAAAGCACAAAATAAGCACTGACTATTATATCAAAGGTCCAAGAAGACCCAGTGCCGCTTTGACTAAGAACTTTCTACTTCCTGAGCCTATAGAGATGTGAACAAGCCACAAAGATGCAAGCTCTTGCTGTCACAGGCTGGGCCCCAGCCACTATGTCTCCACCTCTATGATGGACTGAATTCCCTGAAAACTATGGGCCTGAATAAATCCTTCCTCCTAAGTTGCCCCTGTCAAGCCACAGCAGTAAAAAAACTAACTCAGGACACTTAGTAAGGGGTAGAAAATAACCCTTTGACTATCCCCACTCCCCTGCCACTTTGCTCTTGTAGGAATTTATGTGAGAAATGTTTAAATATTTATACCACAAATAAATGTGCACTACAGTCATCATGTAATCTGCTTATCTGGAAGGCAACATTTAAAATTAATTTTTATTTTATGTGTGTGAATGTTTTGCCTGCATGTATGTGTGCAATGCTTGTGGAGGCCAGAAGAGAACACTGGATTCCCTGGAACTGAAGTTTTAGATGGCTATTAGACACAATGCAGGTGCTGGGAACTGAATCCCAGTCTTCTCCAAGAGCAATCAGTGCTCTTAACCACTGAGCCATTTTTCCAGTCTCATAGGAGGCATTGAGTAAAATATAAAACTAGACAATAATAACAAAAATTAGTAACCAAAAGACAAGGCAAATCTGAGCATTAATTTCTACAGGTTACCCTGACTCTCTCTTTTCCTTCCTTCCCTGGATTTTTTTCCCATGCAATTAATATGTGACTAGAAGGCTTAAAAAAAAAAAACTATAGCTTCTTTGGCAGAAACATCAAGCCATATTCTTTCATCACTCTTAAACAACCAAGGAAAGTACTTGATACAGGAGCTCCACAGAAATTCTGAGAGTAGTTATTATAAATTAGTCTCTAACTATTACTGTAATCTGTTAATTTGTAATTTATCAATTTTTCCCAACTGGTAAATTGTTAAGCAAAGATTCTTGATGTTATACTGCTATGTGAAATAATTAAACAATTTCTTCAAATAACAGGAACATTTTTCTTACTCAAAAATACCCTTCCATGACTTCTATAATGAAAGCCCTACTTAGAACCCAGGCTTACCAGGCTTAATATGTGAAATTAGGCTGTAAACCACCCTCTTGCAACCTCATGCTGGACATGCAACTCAGGGCCTCATACATTAAGCAAATGCTTTGTCAATGAGTCATATGCCTTACCCAAGACAGCTTGATAGACATTTATTTAAAAGACAAGTTTCTCTGAGAAACTTCTGACTCTTTAAATATGTTCTTGTATCTCCTAACTAATAAGTCAATTTTGAGAAAAAAAACAAGGTAACCTAAAATGTAGCTAAGATGTCTACTTATGCATGAAAAACATTATTTTAGTTTTCGTTCAAGAAAAACGGATTATAAAAAACAGACTATAAAGTGTTCTTCTGGGGCTAAAGATGGCTCAGTGGTTAAAAGCACTAGCTGGTCTTGCAGAGGGCCGGAGTCCAGCTGCCAGTGCCCACAGAGCAACTAGCAACTATCTATAACTCCAGTTTCAAAGGATCCAACATTGTTCTTCTGACCTTTGCAGGCATTGCACGCATGGGTGCACTCACATACATGCAGGCAAAACACTCATATACATAAAAATTAATAAAATTTTAGGTGTTCTTCTTAACAAGTTAAAATAAATTTAAATACAAGAACTTACTATTCTGGAGAACATATAGCCTCAATTACCTGATGTTGCTGTGTTTCCGGTCTGGAAAAGGGAACCTCCCAAACCAGCTAAGGCTCCCCCTAAAGAAAGCCCTGTTGATGCAGTTGAAGTTGTGGCTGTTGTTGCTCCTAAATTATTTAGAGTAAATCCCGTGGATGCTGGGGGGTGTTGGGTGGGGAGAAAATGAGAATATGAGCCTTCAAATACCAACAGAACTTAAGAACACCATAGAAAAATATGAGTACATTTTCAAAAACTAGAATCCCAAGACAATCCTTGCTAAGGAAAACATTACACGTATGAAAGAATAAAGAGAAATAGTAGTCTCTCTCTCTCTCTCTCTCTCTCTCTCTCTCTCTCTCTCTCACACACACACACACACACACACACACACACGGGTTTGGGGCACTATTACAGTGGTATTAGATAACTGTTTCCAGACAGCAATAGTTTGTAATTCCAGCCAAAAATTATACTTTAAAATGAAAAGAGGGGCTAGAGAGATGGCTCAGCAGCTAGGAGTACCGGCTGCTCTTGCAGAGAACCCACATGGTGACTAACACCATCTGTAACTCCAGTTCCAAGGGATCCAACATACTCTTCTTACCTCTGTGGGCACTGTACAACATGGATGCACTTACATACATGCAGGCAGTACACTCATACACATAAAATAAAAATACTAAATATTTTTAAATGAAAAGAATCCTAAATCAGGGGAAGTTTATAAGAAGTCTTATCCTTCCCCATCACAAAGGTTCCTTGAAAACAAAGTAGATACTAACAGCTTTCCATCTCACCCTTCTGGCCCTCTTCCTGTTATCTCTGAAAGTAGAGACTGTATTTCAAGATGCAGTCACTACTGGGACTGAAGAGATGGCTCAGTATTTGAGAGCTCACTGGCTGCTCTTGTGAGGATTTGGGTTCAATTCTCAGCACTTACAAGGCAGCTAACAGACTGGGCTTCAGGGGATCTGACACCCTCTTCTGGACTCTGCAGGCACTAGGCATGCACATGATACACTTATATACATGAAGGCAAAACACACACATAAAATTTTAAAAATTAAAATCTTAAAAATAAAAAATGACCACTACTACTTTAATGTCCAATGCAGATGTCTCTGTTTTTCCAGATCAAGTTTTGCTATGCAGTCAAGGCTTGCCTTGAACTGAAGATCTTCTGCCTCAGCCTCCCAAGTGCTGGGATCACAGGTGGGGACCACAAAGCCCAGCTCTAAAAAGCCAATAATTTAGTAGACAAAATTGCTAAATAATCCAAATAAAACTTCCCCAAAGCATTGCTATTTTCTAGCTTTTAAAAATAATTATGTGGGGGGCAGAGACATATAGGTGTGCTCACCATTCTGTGCATATGCAGTTTCTTTTTTGAGACAGTCTCTCATTAACCTGAACTCAGCATTTTGGCTAGATTGGTTAGCCAGTGAATCCCTGGGATCTATCTGCCTGTTTCTGCCTCCCAAATGCTGGGATTACTTTAAATTTGTCCTACTGCAACCAGCTTTTACATGGGTTCTGGAGATTCAAACTCAGGTCCTCAAGCACTTTATACACTAAGCCATCTCCCCAACCCTATGGTTATGTTTAATAATACAAATATAGCTATTCACATTCTCTAACTAGTCAAAATTTAAATGTAACCATTCTGCCTCACCTGCTGGAGTTGATGAAAGAGCAGACGAAAGAGTAAGACCACTAGCTGAGGTAGAAGTAACAGGCAGAGCAAATGGTGTGGCAGATGCTGCAGGTTTACTAAATCCTAAACTGAAGCCTGTTGTAGACGCAGAAGTAGTGGCTGCTGTTCCTGTTTAAAAGAAAAATCTCATTTTATCTTAATCATACAGATATTATACCATACAGGGTTTCAATTCAGATCCCAAAGAGTTTGTGATCCTTTCTTTGTCATAAGAAGTAGGATGTGTAGGTATGAAAGAAAATACCAACCCTGGTATTAAATTATGGTGAATACAGAAAAGGTGGCCCTTCAGGTTAAGAAAAAAAATGTAAACCCAATCACTGTATTACCGTGATCAATTTCAATTCCACTCCAAGACATATATATAACAGCATACATTCTCCTTCACTCCCTCTGTTCACAGAAAAGTAGGTCCTCTTGTCCAAGACTACAAAACTACCATTCTATACTCCTGGAAAGTCTCTTCTTTCCAGCTCCTATCCCCGTCAGCTCCTGGCTCTCTTCCTACTCCTCCTTTCCAGTCCTCTAATATAGAATTCCTACCTCCATTCAGGTCCTAAGGGCCATTCCCCAGGGTTCCACTGCTGCTACACCCACTTCCCACTTTCATCATTTCAACTACAGGTACACAAGTCTAAGCCTAACTGAAATCAGTTTGCTTTTTTTGGAGACAATATCTCACTATGTAGCCTCGGCTAACCTTGAACTCACAATCCTCCTGGCCTTAGGGCCCCCTGCCCCCTAAAACAGGCATTCTGAAAAACAGGCATGGGTAATTAACTACACACAGCTGTGAGTCTAAATCTACATCTACTTGAATCCTCACAGACTGGTGGACCTTGATATCCCTCTGACTCATGTATCGCCTCACAAAACAAAAACTTGTTATGTCCCTCACCTTGGTCAATTCAATCTTTCAAGGCAAAAACCACAGGCTTGACACTTTTCTTTTTTTTTTTTGCATTTCTTTAGTTACAAATCTTGTTAATTCTATTTCAGAACTATTGCTAAATTAAAGGTATCCTCAAAAACTTTCTAGTTTAGGCCATCCCTCACAATAACCTCTTCATTTCCGTCAGTCTCTTCCGATTGCTCATTTATTCTGGGAATTATCTCAGTCACCTGAACAACATCTTGGTGTTGAATTAACTTTTCCTAGACAGACATGAACAAGTATCTATTCACCCTAGGTGAAACAGACTAAAAGAAGTTATTCCACCTAAGTCTAGATTGACAAAACAATTTAATTAGGGTACTCAAAAGAGCGCAGGTGAGAGTTTTTCTACAGGAGCATTTGCAACTTACAGGTAGCTACATTACAGAAGAAAAGTTCCTCCCTCCCCAATAATAAAAAACTGCTTATATATTCTCAAGAAGGAGCAGGGCCTGAAGCCTGTCTTGTAAGGGAGCCCACTGCAAGTGAACATTCCCTCCCAACCAAGAAGGAAAGTTAGTGGGTTCAATACTGTGAATCCCAGGTGGGGAATCCCAGCTGTCCTGATTTCAAGCCAGCAGCAGCCAGTGAGGCCTAGAGGACAGTGCTCTTCAACATTTGGTGGTTCCTTCTAACTTAAGGATCCCATCAGCTCTCATCTACAACAGTCTAAAGACCTGTCAAATAATTGCCTGTTCTTATCTAGTCCCAGAAACTTTCAAGAACTATCTTTATTTCCTGCTGAAACAATTATTTTAACATCAAAATTAAAAACAAGCTGGTAAAGCTGGCTTAAACATATTAAAAAAGTATTTAAAGAAAAATATTGCATTACATAATCTGATAGAAAATTTTAAGTCATCTTAATCCATTATGTTTAAAGAGACTTTCAATTGCTAAGACCTTTGATTGCTTCCACTAGACAGATCACAGCCAATGACTAGACCTTTCACTCACCCAGATCCCTGCATCCTTCCCTTCTTAGCATCTACCTTTTTAAACACTCTACAACTACCTCTTAAGGACATAAGATGTAAAGTGGAAAAGAAGCATTTCCTCTACCCATGAAAATGAGACAGCCCTCCTTACCTGCACTTGTTCCTCCAAGAGCGAACCCAGTGGTAGGCTTAGATCCAAAGAGTCCAGTTCCAAAACCACTGGAAGAGGCAGATGTAGTTGCTGGTGTTGCAGAGTTTCCAAGAGTTCCAAAACTGAGCCCCACAGAAGGGGTGCTTATTTATGTAAAGAAATAAATAAAGTCTACTAAGGCTAATATTAGGGGAAAAAATCAACTGTTTACAGCTATTCTTTCTTATATAATATCTAAACGGTATTAGCAAAAATACTTCTAATGAATCAAGTTCAAATATGTTCCTTTTCTCCTTAAAAACAAGTAAAATGTACAATTTGTCTTCAAGAATACAATACAAAACGAGGCCTGATGGCACAGGCATGTTATTTCCGCTATTTGGAGACTAAAGCAGGTCATTCTGGACAACTTAATGAGACCATGTCTCAAAAGTTAAAAAGGCAGCTAAGAATATAGCTCAGTAGAAGAACACTTGCTCAGCGTATGTGACATGCTAGGTTCAGTATCTAGTACTATCAAAACAAAATAAAACACACAATAAAACAACAATGCCAGGCTTCAAGAAAAGTCCATTCTACAGAAATTAAGATGTCAGATCTCAAGAAAATCATAAACAAGGAACACATACATTCTACTTTTATCAATTGTTTGAACTCCAGCATATTTTTAAATGACCATAGATGATAATTTTTCCTTTGAACTACTTGAGCACATAATTCACTTATCTAAATTCAGGTATAAGACAATTATTCATATAAAACGTCATACACTCAAATAGAAAAGCTATTCCAAGACTTCTTTATTACTACCCCTCTATTCCTATAATACCATATTCAGAGGCATGGGGAACATGGCATGTTGACATAAAAAAGGCCAACTTGAGACAAAGTAAGCATTTCTGTGCACAAATTAAATGCGGAGTATAATTATCCTCTGAGAAGATATGCTCATTAGCAGAAACTCTCTTTAGTTTTTGAGAAAAGAACAGCTAATAAAAACAAGGCAATGTGAAGTTTGCAAGTTTTTAAGTTTTCTTTTCAAGGCTCTGAGACTCAGATTTGCTACCTAAGGTAGGATAAATTTTGACAATCTGACACTTCAAAATTACATAGGAAGGGCTGGAGAGACGGCTCCACAGTGAAGAGCACTGGCTGCTCTTGCTAAAGACCCAGGTTTGGTTCCCAGCACCTACATAGTGGTTAACAACCATCTGCAACTCCAATTCTAGGGGATCCAGTGCCCTCTTCTGGACTCTGCAGGCAATGCATGCATGCGTACACTTCTACATATGCTGGCAAAACACCCACACACATAAATATTTTTAAAACCTTTTACAAAACTTAACACATTATACAACATAGAAAACCCAATGGGAAATCTCATTAATCTTATATATTTATTCTTATTATTTCCCATTCTGTCCATCCATAAGGACAAAATTATGTCAGGTATTGTAGTGTATATCTGTAATCCCAGTTACTCAGGAGGCTGAGGCAGGAGAATCACAAGTTTGAGGCCACCCTGGGCAATCTAGTGAGACTGTCTCAATTTCCTAAAAAAGGCCTGGTGGCATAGGCCTGTAATCCCAGCCTCTAAGGAGGCTGAGGCAGAGAGGCTGAGGCAAGAGGACCAAGGTCAAGGCCTACTTGGGTTACACATTAAGTTCAAGACCAACCTAGGCATCTTAGTGAGACTTTGCCACAAAACAAAACATAAAAAGGGTGGACACATAGCTGAGCGGTACAGTACTTGCTCAACATGTGTTAAGGCCTTAGGTTGAACCCAGTACAATGTTTTTTTGTTTTTTTTTTTAAAGAGGCTAGGGGCATGGCTTAAGGATGGAGGGCATGAAGTGGCAGGTGCAATCCTCAGCACTGAAAGCAACAAAAACCTGCATACAACAAGCACAATGGAGTACAAAGATAACTAAAACAAGCTCCTACCCAAGAAATATGTTATTTTCTGGGGGACTAAAATACCACAACCACAATCCTAGTCAGAATAGGTCTCCAAGTTACTTAGATCCAGGAGCCATGATTTCCACATTCAGCCCAAGGAGCCATTCAGCTTTCCACACATATTGGGAGTCCAAGAAGGAAGTTACAATTCAAGCAGTAGAAATGTATAATTTGAATAGAGACAATTACAGCTACTTGGCAGATGATGGCTGAGTGTGAGGGTCATGGTGACAAAGGAGTTTAAAGAACTTGAGAAGGATCACCAACACTGAGCAGACAGGAGCAAAGGCAGCAGGAGTACTCCATTGTATTAGTCTCCCACTGCCTCTAAACATGAGTGTGGAAGCCCTGACTACATGAAGGCAGGACGAAAACAGAATGAGGCTGCTAAGATCTAGCTGACAAGACCTTAAAAACTGAATTAAGAAAGTGTTTTAAGACAGTATTGGCTACAATTAACACTAAGAGAGATGGCTCAGTGGTTAAAACTGCCATACTTCTCTTGCAGAGGATCCTGGTCCCCGGCACCCATGTAAGGTGACTCACAAACAGCCAGTGGCTCCAGCACAGTAGATCCGATGCCGCCTTCTAGCCTCTGTGGGCACCTGCACTCCTGTGCATATACTCATACACAGACACACACACACACACAATTTCAATAAAAGGAATCTTTGTATTTTTTGTTTGCATTTTTGTTGGGGGGGGGGGACCAGAGGGTCTCCCTGTACCTCCTGCTGGCCTCAATCTCAGAGATTTGCCTGTCTCTACGTTCCCAGTGCTGGGGTTAAAGGCATGCACCACCATACCCCACAAAATGAATCTTAAAAAACGAAAAAACAACTAAGCGAAATACACCATAAACCATAAAAGGCACAAACCTAAAACCAATCAGTCACAAAAAAAATGAAGTAAAAGTTTAGAGGGAGGCAGTGTAGCTTATGTCCACCACAGGGCACACAATTAAAAGGAGAATGCATCAGCAAAAACATACAGCTTAAGAGGAGGCACAGCTGGAAAGCACTGTTATTGTGTATCTGCTGTCTCCTAAAAACAAATAAATAAATAAAAAATAATAAAAACACAAAACATTTTTTAGGCTATTAAATCCATAGCCTTTAAAATCTATAACCATATTCCGTATTAAGCTTCCAGGAACTACCTTACCAATAAAGTACACAATTCTTGATTTTATGAACTCCGTCTTTATATTCAAAAGATTCAGGTCTCAAAATTAACTGTTTCGTTAAAATGGCTATCTGAATATTCCGAGTTATATTTTTGTTGCTGATAGTACAAAAATGATGGCTATACTACTTAAATTCGTAACTTAAAGAAATTATAATGCGAGTCATTGCAACACAAAATACTTTTCAACAATAAACTAATCTGCATACTGCGCAAAATTATCACTAATAGCTGCTATAAAAACGAAGAAACTGACAGGGCCCCACGCGGCACAAAGGCTTGAGAGACCCGAGAAGCAAAAATAACCATAAAACCACGGTAGTGTTCAAACCTAAATGCGAATCATCGAGGGGAAATTTAACTGTCCTCCTCCAAGTTTTCTGTTCCTTGCTGCTACAACTTCATTCATTCATTCAACAACCACTCTGTTCCTGAGACTGACGCACCGTGGAGGCTCAGGACTGACACCAGTCCCTTCCCGCAGTAGGCCGCCCCCGGCCGGGCACTCGAAACCCATGCCGCCCTCACCCCACCCGGTCCTCGGCTCCCCGCGGAGCTCCGGGGGAAGCCAAGATGCCTCTCGGGCGAGGACCCGGCCACCACGGGCGAGGAAGCACGGTTACCTAGACGCCCCGCTCCCAAAGGAGAAGCCGCCACCCGTGCCGGTCCCGCCGGTCGCTACGGTGGTGGAGCCTAGCGCCCCGGACCCGAAAGAGAAACCCGTGGACATGACTGCCCGCCGTAAGCAAGCGGAGGGAGGCCCGGGTCGTTCCTGTCGCCTCACAGCCGAGGTGGGCCAGGTAGCATCACTGTACCCAGCCCGGACCCGGCGGGAACTTCAATCCCAGCGGCCACACCGCCAAGCCGGAAGGGGCTGGACAACGCGCGAACGCAGTCCCACCGCCCCGCGCAGGCGCCCAGCACGCCGGAAGCATGCCCCACACGCAGGGTACCCTGGGACTGGGGTAGAGGCGGTCCTCCGCGCAAGGCACGCCGGGATGCGGTGGGTGGGCCTCCCGGCTCCTCTCTCACAGAAGTTGGCACCAAGCGGGTGAATCAGGCTAGAACTAGTTCTAGTATTTATTTTCCTGGTGACGAACTGTGGTGTTGCTTCAGTCCTTCCTCCTGGTAAAAAGCATGCGCAAAACCCTGGTGGTCGCCCCTAAGCCCCCCATAGAGAAGCGGGGCATCTGACTTTCGTCGGCTGCTGCTGAACCCCGGAAAGGAGGAGACTGTCTACTTTTTGACAGTTCGGAAATCCAGGGGACCAGAGGACCTCCGGGTGCTTCTGTAAGTGCCAGGTCTGTAGAGCGCGGAGTCTGCGTGGATGCTCTTGGAGTGCATCATGGCACCAGCTGCTTTTGCCACCCAGCCTGAGGTCAAGAAATGGTTCCAGAAAACCCTAGTGGACAGAGGTTGGGACCTGGTGCTGGCCTTAGGGTCCCTTCGTGAGAGCTGCTTCATGGTCGTGTGGCAGTCCCACACCTTGGACTATATACCAGAGGAATTGCAAAACGAAAAGGACAGAAACGTATACCATGTAAGATGGAATGTACAGGATCTTGGAGGCAACATGAGCTTCCGAGAAAGGCTTTCTAGCAGTGGGCCTCGGGGGCGCTCCCACCACGATGTGGGTCTTTATTTCTCCATCAGAGATTGGTACATTATTCCCTCAAGAGGTTTACGTACCTGCCATGTCTCTTTCAGTGAAGTTCATCCCATCAGCAAGCCCTCAGATTTGTTTTAAAGTATAATTCTCACCATGGTGGTGCTTTGACCAAAAGCCCAGTGATCTGGCACTCCTTTATTCTTTGTCCAATCTTTGCAGCTTCCTTTCTCACAACTCCCCATAACTGAGTACTTTTGTGCTGACAGGCATTGCAACCGTCGGTGGACTGAATTAGGCCATCCTCCAAACTCATGGTCTAGCCCTCTCCCCTCCCCACATTCATATACTGGAACCCTATCCCTCACCATTGGCCCTTTGGGAAAAAAAGTTAGATGATGTCATGAAAGTGTGTTTCCCAATGATAGGATTAGACAACAGAGCTCTCCACCTTGTGAGGACACAGTGGAGACTTTCTGAAAGCCAGATATAAGGTCCTTTGCAGGAACCCAGTCTTCAGGCACCTTCATTTTGAACTCTCAAACTGTGAGAAGTAATATTTTATCTCTCTAATATGGCATTTACAGTAGCCCAAGCAAACTAATATACCATCTATGTGTTAGCCAGGGAGGTCCCATAGACTACCAAAATAAACAGGCTATTTCCATTGTTCTTGGTTACCCACCCTATTGCTGAAAACATTACACACTTTGAACACAGTATATAGAAAAAAAAATCAAACTGGTAGCCTGGAAAATTCCCACTGGCTAGCAATCATAGTGCCAGAAGGTTCTATGTAGGCTTCTTTTTTTTCTTAAAATGTGTATGAGTGTATTGCCTGCGTGTGTCTAAATGCACCCCATCATGCAGTGCTCACGGAGGTTAGGAGAAGGTTTCAGATCCCCTGGAACTGGAGTTATGGATGGTTATTAGCCACCATGTGGGTGCTGGGAACTGAACCCAAGTCCTCTGCAAAAGCAGTCAGTGCTCTTAACTACTGAGCCATCTCTCCAGTCCCTATATAGGCTTCTGAGAGAGAAAAATCATCCATAGTCTTACCCAGCTTTGAACCCTTGAACTACACTAACAACCAAACTGGCAAGATATGCACATTGGTACATTAGTGACATGAATGTTATTTCAGGTAATCAACCACTTTCTGATTGGAGTTGAGGCCCAATCTGTGGGATAGAACTTGTGCCTGATGCTATAAACCTGGCCAAGAACCTGTTGATGGGGAGTTCATAGACCTTAAGGGAGAATCTACTACTGTTATTTTTCTGGGCAGAGAGTATCAAGCTGCCTGCTAAATATGTCTCTCTATATATGTAGATTAGTGCAGCTCTTAACCCTTATCAGAGAAACTTCATTTTGCAGCAGATGGCAATTAATACAGAGACCCAAAGCTGGCATATACTTTGCTTCATATTTTCCATATGTAAGTTCTCACTATTTTGTCAGTTGATGCTTCATAGAACTTGATTATATTTTGTCCATTGAGTTTTTAAAAACAGAGTGCTTTTCTAGCCTATCATGTTACCGTAAATGGAACTTTAATATGGATTTTGAAAAGCAAATCAATATAGAATGGTTAAGAATACAAACTTGGCGTCAGATTGTCTGACTATGTCATGGCTCTAGGCTTTATCTGATTTTCAATATCAGGCAAGTTACTTTATTGTGTTTCATTTTGTCATCTTTGAAATGAGGTAAGTAACAGTATTGTCCTCATAACACAGATAAATTACTTGGTACTCTTTCTGCCACCTGATGATCACAGTAGATGTTAGCAGACGTTGGTATTACTGTCTGTGAAAAGTTGATGAGAGAAAGTGATGACTGTCAAGAAACAAAGGGGAGGATAAGAAGCAGGCAAGATAAAGATTTGAGGCAAAATCACATAGAAAGGTTTTATTATGAAAGTCTTGCTGTGTGTTGTACAGTATGATTTACCTTTCTGTATTCTCATTATTTTTCTATTTTTCAGAACAGGATTTATGTGCATATCTCTGTGTGTATGGGTGTGTGATATGTGTATCTGTGTGTGTGAGTGTGTGGTTTGTGGTGTATGTGTGTGATGTATGTATCTGTGTGGTATGTTTCTGTGTGTTTGGATGTATGGTTTGTGGTGTGTATGTGTGAGTTGTTTGTGGTATGTCTATATGATATGTGTGTGTGGTGTGTATCTGTGTGTGTAGTATGTGTGTCTGTGTTCATAGGTATGTAATTTGTGGTGTGTATCAGTTTGCATGGGTGCATAGTGTGTGTGCCTGTATGTGGAATGTGTGTGTGTGTGCACATGCACACATGTATGTTAGCAGTGATACTATACTAAGACTCCTTTCTAGGTGGTTCACCCCTTATTGTTATTTACCTTACATCTCCACCATGAAGTATCATTGTGTTAACTCAACATCCTCATTGCATTAGCAGTGAAACACAGTAGTCACTCAAATAGACATGGTAGATCATGCTTATAACCCTAGTACTTAGTTGATGAGGAAGGAGGATTGCCACAACTATGAGACCATCCTGGGCTACATAGCATGACCCTGTCTCCAAAAAAATAAAATAAAAGGGGGTAGAGGTTGTTAAATATAAACCAGGCATGACACAGATCTGTAATCCCAGCACTTGCGAAGTAGCTGCAGAAGGATTCAAGATCATCCTCAGCTACATAGCGAATCTGAGGTCAGCCTGGACTACATGAGATACAGTCTCAAGAAAATCAAAACATCAGGAAATAGTGCCAACAGCTGACAAATGGGACTTCATGAGATTAAAAAGCTTCTGTACAGCAAAGGAAACAAGTGAAGACACAGTCTACAGAATGTGAACTAGTCCAGCCACTATCAAAATCAGTATGCAGGTTGTTCAAAATAGACACAGCTATAAATATAAATATATCCTGCCTATCCCAATTCTTGGTATATAAACAAAAGTCAACAAATCATAGAGACACTTTCACATAGTGTTTATTGCAGCACTATTCACAGTAGTTATGGGACCAGCCTAGGTGTCCAACAACAGGAATGGATAAAGAAAACATGGTATATATGCACAGTGGAATTTTGCAGTCATAGACATGAATGAGGTAATATTATTTGCAGAAAAAATGGATGCAACTATAGATAATTGTACTAAGCAAACTGTGTCAGTTTCAGAAAGACAAATAGCATATTTTCTCTCATTTGTCAACTTTAGATGTCACAGATGCATAGCATCATATATGTAGTGCTAACATGAAAGTAGAAACAAAGGGGACTAATGGGAAGATTGAGAGAGAGAGAGAGTCATGGGGGAAGGGAGTCTGCTCAGTGTACAATGTATACTTGCATGAAAATGACCTTCTATAATCCTGTATAATAAAAACAACCACACTCAACACAACTTGATTAAAATGAAACAAAGGAAAGCAAAATTTTTACCTAGCAAAGAAAAATTACATGTTAGAGAGGCTTTTCACTGTGACTACTAAAAAGATGGTACAATTCCTTGCTAGCTTTTCTCCATATTTCTTTTTGCCATTTTTATTTGGTTCTAGGCCCCGAACTAGGGATTAAACATGCTAACCACCACTTCTACAACTGCTACATTCTCAACCTTGTAAAATAACATTTTCTTTTCTTTTAAAAAAAATGTACTATCAATGTATGTGTATGTATGTGTACCACAGCTCATGTGTGGAGCTTCTGGGGATTGAGCTCCAGTTGTCAGGTTTGTATGTCAAGCACTTTGCCCTCAAAGCCATCTCACTAGCCCTAAAAGCAATATTTTTAAATTCCAAGTGTGAAACCACTGTATACAGAACACCTGAACAACATGAAGCAGGGCTTCTCAACTTCGGCACTGCTTTCATCTTTGACAGGAGAATTCTGCTGTGTCTGCCCTTCTGGCACATTGTGGCTGTCCTGGACCCACTACATGTTTATAATCTGCCAAACCACCACCAAAGACAACAACAAAATGTCACTAGAGTTCACCAAACATCCCATAGAAAGAAAATCCTGATAACTACTGTATCTGAAGACTTACAAAAATCACCCGTGGTTCCACTTTGCACAACTACAAACCTTTAGCTGGTCACACTGAATTTACTGTATCATAGCTTTTTTTCTTATTTAGTAATACAACATCACCGTTTCTATTAAGAAATATCCCTCTGTAGGATGACTCTGTGTGTGTGTGTGTGTGTGTGTGTTGTAGGTGTATGCCTGTGTGCATGTATAGGGCTAATGAAGGGTGTCAGGGGTCCTCCTCTATCTCTCTCCCTTGTTCCTTTGAGGCAGGCTCTC